TATTCTCTCCTCCTTTGTGGTAGCTTAAGATATCTTATCCTTTTCTCTCCTAGGCCTCACACCCTTAAGATTTCTTCCCTTTTTCTCATAAGCCTCACACCCTTAAGATTTCTTCCATTGCTCTCCTAAGCCTCACACCCTCTCTATTTATAGAAGCAAGAGAGTGGTAGGTGGGAGGTAGGCGAGCGATAGGTGGGAGGTAGGTGAACGATAGGTGAGATGTGGTAGGTGAGCGGTACCACATTACAAAAGTGCCCTTTTATTTTAGTTCATTAATTGGGGGTCAAAATAACACTTTCGGTCAACCGAGGCGTTCGGTCGAATGACGATCTCGTCCGTCGCTACAAAAGCAGGTTGGGTTTTTCCTGCGCTTTGATTGGTCGATTAGTCAATAGTTGAGTTAATTTGTTTTTGTCGGGTGAGTCGTGACTCACTTTTCGCTTTGGTCGAGTCTTACCGGTCTACGTCTCGTCTACTTGGTCGCATCGAGGCCTCAGTCGAATACCTCTATTTGCAATGTTTTTAAGCGTATATTTATGTTGTTTATGTTACATATCAGATGAGAATTTTTGCTAGGATGAGTTAAGTATCACCCATAACAGATCTTATCACTATCAAGCAAGGCATCATCTCCAAAGCTTTAACCTCGCTCAGTTTTAGAGACGCGGCTACACCTATTGCGAGATAAGATATACCTCAGTTAATGTGGTATATATATAAAGCAAACAGGAGAATGATCGACGAAGCGAAAAATAGAAAAAGAAAAATCACACCAGAAAAAATCACATAGATTCACGTAGTTCGGCAAATTGCCTACGTCCGCGGAGTTGCAGAGGATTTTACTACTTGAGAAATTTACATCAGTCAATCGCCCCGACTTACATGAGAAATCACTCACTTCGTTGCTCTCTCTTCTTTTCTCTCTTTTCTTTTCTCTACACCGAGATACACCAAAGAAGATAAACTTACAAAAGAAATAAACTCAAATTTTCTTCTGCCACAAACCCCCAAAAATAAGTCAAGGGAGAGCAATCTTCTTCTTCTCCTTTCTTCTTCTTCTTTCTTCTTCTTTCTACCGCAAAGAACTACCTCTTGCACTTCTCTTCCTTCTATCCCGAGAAAATTCGAAGAACTCTTCATCTATCCCGAGGAAGTCTGAAGAAGAACTCCAAATCATGACTTAGAAACTTTCTTTTCTTATGTTCGCAACTTAAAGGAGACGGGAGACGGGAACGGTTCGCGACAACAGGGAGGTGCGACTCTTCGCGAATCAGGACCAGGGAGCGGTGGGAACAGGTATCGCGACAGTGGAGCGGGAGCAATCGCGATGATTCGCGCTCGGGCGCGACATGCAGGAGCAGGAGCGGGATCAGAATCTGGCTCCAACACTAACAACACCTGCTTGGCAATAATTTGTTGGTCGACTGTTTACCTTTAGGAAAATTTTTTTTTTTTTTGGTAATTCATTCTTTTTGAGATTTATACCGGTAACATGCGCTCACTCTAGTTAGCTCAGATCATCAGCAACTATGAAATTGGTTTAACTAGCCAAACTAATGGTGAACTTAGGAGCTAATATCTGATGAACTTTTCAAGCTCATGATAAATTAGTTGAAATCATGATGATCTTAGTCGCCAAAGTTTGGGGCAACTTTCTCAAGAGATAATGTTGACTTCTGGTGTGTGCATCCAAGTTATCTATATTGTATGGAAAATAT